CACCTCCACCTCACCTCCACCTCCACCTCACCTCCACCTCATCACTACCTCACTTCTACCTTCATCTCACCTCCACCTCATCATCACCTCCACCTCACCTCCACCTTATCACTACCTCACCTCTACCTTCATCTCACCTCCACCTCCACCTCATCTCCACCTCACCTCTACCTTCATCTCACCTCTACCTCACCTCTACCTTCATCTCACCTCCACCTCCACCTCATCTCCACCTCACCTCTACCTTCATCTCATCTCCACCTCTACCTCACCTCCACATCCACCTCACCTCCACCTCCACCTCACTCACTGAACCCTCCTGAGCCACAGTCATCGTGGGCTTGGCCACCACAGCACCCTGCCCTGCCCTACACTGCCCTACACTGCCCTGCAGTCTTGCCCCCTGGTATCTTGTCTTCAGGAAGGTGACCTTTGACATACGCAGGCCAGACTCCGTGGCTTAGCACTGTGAGACCTTCCCATGACTCCCCTTCCTGGGGCCCTCTCCTGGGCCTCCACACCTCTGCCCTGCGATGCCATTGACCCACTTGCCTCTTCCAGGCAAGTGTCACCCCTCAGAGGCCTTTCCAGGCCCTGTGTCTGAAGCAGCCACCTTGGACTCTTGGCCTCCTTGTTCTCTGTCATACCACACTGTTTTCTTTTTTCTTTTTCTTTCTTTCTTTTTTTTCTTTTTGAGAGTTTTTTTGCTATAGGGCACATGTGCTCACCAGAAAGACAGAGAAAGACAGAGAGACAGAAAGTGAGAAATCACCCCCCCAGGGGGATGGTCACGCCGCAATCCTTTCTCCATTCTCCTCTCAGGATCTTGGGCACGCACGCACACATGCCCGGAGTGAGTTTAACCCAACAGGTCCGGGACTCGAACCGCGGTCGACTACATGGGAGTCCAGCGACATAGCCATTACGCTAACTGCTGGTCCCTGTTCTCTTTTTTTCAAGGCAGTTATTCGTCCTGCAGATTACCTTGTGCCAGATTGTGGGTCTTTATTCCAGACTGTTCTCAGACTGTGGGTATCTCGAAGCTCTCTGGGGAGGGGCAGCTCTGTGATGTAGAAAACATCTCCACGAGGGGGAGCTGCAGGGGGCTATGGGTCGGCGACACACATGGAGAGCAGGTCAGGACTGACGGGAGGAGCCTAGAGGAGGCTAAAAAACTGGAATGCAGACGGAGGCGCAGGCCTCTAGAAGCAATGCTACACGCTGGTGCAGACCGGAAAGCGCGGTGCCCAGGCCTGTGTGTTTATGACCTCCGTCGGGGGGCAGAGTGAGTCTACAGTGAAGCTGGGCGCTGAGTTCTACCTAAGGAACAGGAGCAGCAGTGTAGACCCCACATCCGGTGCCCCCGCAGGACCCCAGACTCTCGGGGAGCCAGTGCAGTCCCTCGAGCACCATCCGAGGCACGCGTGGAGAAGTCACCAGCTGAAATGCAGCAGGGCTTGCCTGGTGTTTGGACCCGCAGTCAAAGTGCCAAACGAGGTCGGAGTCCTGCTGGAGCTCCGCAGGGGGCCACCACCAAGACCAGCTACTCCTGCCCCCTCGGCAGCCTGCACAGGGCACCCCCCTGTACCATCCAAGGGTCTGTGCTGGCCCTATGACGTCAGGAACAGGCTTCTGGGCTCATCCAACAGCCAGCACACCTCCCCACGACGGCATTCCGCAGGGACTAAGCTGTGACAAAAACGATCGTACTAACAATATATTCGGCGAGCCCCGGAAGGTGCTCAGGTGGGGGTGGTGAGTGAGGCCAGTGGTGGCCCCGCGTGTGTGCGCCGTTTGGCCATGGTCCGATGCCTCTAGGGACCATGGGAACACAGGACAGGCGCCCCCTGCAGGGCCATAGGGAAGTATGACAAGTTCACCAGGTGGTGCCCCACGCTGGGCCAACTCAGACACAGCCTTCTCCAAGGAGCCCACTCCCCGTGGGTGGACGTGCCCAAGAGAGCCAAGACCCAGGGCCGCGGCTTTCTGTGTGACGCTGGGCTGCTGATGTCCCCCCACACCGAGTACTGTGGTTTTCTCACCCCTCCCCCAACACCCAGGACTTTACTAATGAGGGAGAAGCGGGTGTGCCAGCCCACTGTGCAAACCAGGACGCTCGTGCCGTTCACGTGCACACGGCAGGGGCTTCCCCGGCTGCAGACACCGCGGAGAGGCACAGCCCTGGTGCCCAGGGGCCGCCCCTGGACGGTGGGCCTGTGCCGCAGTTTACACTGGCCACCTCGTGGGCCCGGCCCTGCTGTCACCAGAGGTTGTGCTTAAAGGGTTTTAAGTAAAACAGGATTCCCTCATGGGTGTGAATGACTAATTACACGATTATTCTATTCTGTGTGATTAATCAACCGCTCCTCAGTCTCACAGAAAATTCTGTTTCCCACCAGACTGGGGACCTCTTTCACAAAGCTGCCAGCCATGGCCTTCTGTACCAGCACAGGGTACCTGGCTGCTGACGGTACAGACTCGCAGCATTCGCTGTCGGGAAAGCTCCTGAGGATTCCTCTAGGGTGAAATACTATGCAAGTCGAGTTGGGCCTGAAAATGAAGCCTGCAGAGGCTGGTGTTCCTGGGCATCTATGCCTCCCTGAAAAGGAGCCACCAGCCACCACCTGCCACTGATCCTTTGTCCTCTGCAGGCTCCACCAGAGACTGGTGCCCACCTACGAGAGCGCGTCCATTCGCCGGTTCCGGGAGGGCCGGGTGGACAACATCAGGTCGGCCACCCCCGAGGCACTGACTTTCGTGAGAGCCATGACGGACCACAAGGATGTTGTGCCGGTAAGTCCCAGCCTTGCCGAGGACCTGCAGGAAGGCTGGCGAGGCCGCCCCGGGTTCCTCAGTGACCTGCTCCTTCCTGTCACCAAGCAGCCGCTTAGGCCTCTCTGGTCTGTCCACAGGCCTCTGAGAAGCTGCTGCTCCTGAAGGATGCCATCCGAGCCCAGACCGAGTACACAGTCATGGTGAGTGACGCCACACCACCCCGTGACCTCGTGGTCCGAGCTGGGCCACGGCACCAGACCCTATGTAGGAGCACGGCCACCCCCGCCGTGTCATAGGGCAAGTCAGCCTGCCTCTGGGAGACCCTATGTAGGAGCACGGCCACCCCCGCCCTGTGATAGGGCAGCCTCCTTTTTCTTATTCGTTGACATTGGTAACACACCACTCCTGCATTTCCATGACTTCTACAAGAATTCAGAGAGTGGTATTTGAAATCCTTTGAAACAACCTAGTGACCCTAGCAGCAACTCGTATGTTTAGCACTTCACAGTTCATACAAAAGGGAGGTCAAATGTGAGGGGTGGGCTCGGCTGGCGGGCAGTGGTGGCGTGGGTGAGAGTATGCACACCTGGCCCCACTGCGGGCTGGGGCCGGGGAGTGGCATTTATTCCCACCTCTGGTTGACGTCACCTCTGGTTTTTTGGTGTGTGTTTATTTGTACTACCTAAGAAGTCTTTGCTGAAAATTAATAGTAAAATCAAAATTGTAGGGGACTGTTTCCCTAGTTGAGGGAGATAACTTATTTCCTGACACTGCGAAGCCATCATTCACCATCGATGGAGAATGAGCAACTACTTGGAGTACTGATTGATAAATTAACTGCAGATCATTCTGTCATGGTCTCTGGGGGAATCACGTAATCTACGACCAAATTTCACTCTGTATACTTGAAAATAGGCGTGAGGCACTTGGTCTTAGAACTGTCTAACAGACTTTTCTCTAGTTCAGTTCCGAGGGCCCTGGTTCATTTGAATAGCTAAATGTTTATTCTGTTTGGGAAAACTTAAGCACCCTCTCATGTACTCAGTGGGTATTTTGTTTGTTTTGTTTTCTTGTTTTATGCCAGGCAAAGTGCTAGGGGCTAGGAAGCTAAAAAATGAAGTCCATAAGCCCTGTCCCTAGGGAGCTTGCCTACACCCAACACCAGTCTAAGTCCATGGGAAGAGGACCCTTGGGAAGTAATAGAGAACATGGAGGAACAAGCTTTCCTGTCCTTGAAAAAGTCAGGGGCATTTCCCAGAGGAAGTGAGACTTAATAAGAGACTTGAAAGATGAAGAAAGGCTCAAGGGAACAGCACTTGCAAAGGAAAAACACAAAGGAAAAGAACACTCGAGGAACAGCGAGTAGCTCAGTGTGCACAGCTTGCAAAGGACAGAGGAGCAGGGGAGATAATGCCAGACTTCCCTGTTACAAAGCTTATTCTGGTGAGGGGTAGAGTCCTTACTCTGGGCAAAGGGAGGACTGGATAGAGTGGAGCAAGCCGAGAAGCAAAGACTTTAACTCGGAACCTCTATGATTCTGAAGGAAAGTGAGCATAAGGACTGGAGTAGGGCAGGGGCAGGAAGGTTGAAGAGGAAGACACAAACTTCTGCCTCAACGTGGTAGACTGAACAGAAGGCTTTGTGATCACTCACTCTGAAAACTCCCAAGAAATCGCCAAGGGCTTTTCTTAAGCCATAAACACACTAGGGTAAAAAATGAGAAAGGGGACCAGCAGTTACTGTAATGGCTATGTCGCTGGACTCCCACGTAGTCGACCGCAGTTCGTGTCCCGGACCCAGTGGCTTAAACTCATGCCAGGAGCGTGTGCGTGTGTGCCCAAGATCCCAAGAGGAGAATGGAGGAGAAGGGATTGTGGCATGGCCATCCCCCCTGGAGGGTGATTTCTTGCTTTCTGTCTCTCTGTCTCTCTCTGTCTGGCAAGCGCACGCGCCCTATAGCAAAAGCCTCTCCGAAAAAAAAGTATTAAAAAAAAATGAGAAAGGAGGCAAAGGCAGAGTTGTAGAGCTGGAAAGGAGAACAGATGGTGACTGGTTTAGTAAACAGTGGAAGAAGGTGGGGAGCCCAATAAGCTGTACTGTAGGACCTTGAGATGGCTCAGGTATTGAGGCCCAGCTCTGTGAATTATTCTTAAATACAAATGGATAGCCACAGACCACGAGATCCTGAGGAGGGCTGCTGACATGAAATACTAAAACCAAACCAACGCTCAGCCGTGTGGGAGTCCAGCACCTTAACCACTATGCCACCTACTGGCCCCTCACTCCTCTTACTTTTTCTCTATGGACCGACTGCTCTCCAGGTCTGCCAAGCAACTGTTGATTTGTGATCTCCTTGTACTATCAAATTGAGGAGTCCCTCTACTTGTTTATTTAAAGAAAAAAAATGTTTTCTATATTCATGATAGAGAATGTGTGTGTGCAGGAGAGAGAGAGAGAAATAGAGAGAGATGGGCACCTTCTACAGAATCTGGTCACACTGTGACCCTCTTCCTTCAGTTCCCTACCATACCAGATCCTGAGCACTGGTGCATGTGCCTGGCATATTGCAGACCCACTGGGATGGGGATTTAAACTGTGGTCACCTGTGGAGTCTGGCTTTTCTTGCGCAGTTCATTACCACTGTGTCACAGAGCTGGCCCTCTATCTGCTTCTTGTGTTGAATCTTCTGAGTTTTGGAGATTATGACTTCCTCTTTTTTATTTTATTTTTTTAATACTTCAGAGGCCATGTCCTTCAGTAGCCTTATGAGAATACTTACAAAGTAAAATATTGAGACTTTATCTAGCTAAAATTGTTTTTTTTTTTTTCAAGTTTGCTATAGGGAGAATACACTTGCCAGAGAGAAAGAAAGAGAGAGAAGGGGTGAGTGAGAAATCACCCTCCAGGGGATGGCCACACTGCAATCCCTTCTCTTTCGTTCTTTCAGGATTTGGGGCACACATTCTTGGCATGTTTTTCAAGGCACTGGGTCTGGGACTTGAACTGCTCAGTCAGTCATGTAGGATCCAGCCACTTTAACTACCACACAATTGGCTGGCCTTAAAATGGTCTCCAGTCTATCTGCAAACTTGATGATAGTTTAGCTGGGTATGGAATATATGCTGATTATTTTCCTTCAGAATTTAAAGGTATTGCTTCACTATATTTCACTTTCCAATGATGCTATTGAATAATAAAGTATATCTTTACTCCTTATTTTTAATTTTTTCTCTCTGAAAGATTTACAAATCTTGTCTTTCTTTTTAGTGTAGTGAAATTTCCTTGTTATGAGTATTTTTATTATGCAAGGTACTTAATAAACCCTTTCAACACAGAAACTCATGTTTTTTTACTTCTGGGGAATTTTTTCAAATTACTGTGTTGATGATTTTTCTTCCAATTTTCTCTTCTTTATGAACAACTATTAGTTGGGACATTGTCCTCCTGACATGAGCCTCTTTTCTGTTATATATTTCATTTCTTTATTTTGTTGGTATTTTGGAGAGATTATCTCAGTTTATCTCCAAATCCTTCCATTGAGTTTTTTTCAACCACATTTTCCCCCACAGTTATTTTTTATTTTCTGAAAACGAGTCCTGGATCTGGCAGCTTAAAACTCATGCTGTGTGTGTGTGTGTGTGTGTGTGTGTGTGCCCAAAATCCTGAGAGGAAAATAGAGAAGAAGGGAATGTGGAATGGCATCCCCCCAAGGGATGATTTCTTCCTTTCAGTCTCTCTGGTGAGCACTCATAGCCTTTAGCAAAAATTTCTCATTAAAAAAAAAATCTTTTGTTGTTTACAACATTGTTTTCATTTCCTTTAGCTTCATTTAAAATAATTTCAATTTCCAACATTGTTTTCATTTCCTTTAGCTTCATTTAAAATATTTTCAATGGACTCAAATGTAGCCAACTGCAGTTCGAGTCCTGGACCCAGTAGCTTAAACTCATACCAGGCACGTGTGCATGCATGCCCAAGATCCTAAGAGGAGAATGGAGGAGAAGGGATTGTGGTGTGGCCATCCTCCCTGGGGGGTGATTTCTTGCTTTCCTTCTGTTTTCATTTCCTTTAGCTTCATTTAAAATATTTTCAATGGACTCAAATGTAGCCAACTGCAGTTCGAGTCCTGGACCCAGTAGCTTAAACTCATACCAGGCACGTGTGCATGCATGCCCAAGATCCTAAGAGGAGAATGGAGGAGAAGGGATTGTGGTGTGGCCATCCTCCCTGGGGGGTGATTTCTTGCTTTCCTTCTTTCTCACTATCTCTCTTAAGCAGACAATGACAAAAAAAAAAAAAAAAAAAGACAAGGAATACAATTTTGGCCAAGAATTTAGAACCAGTTAGAAATAGATATGTAGACAGCTAAACAAGTGAATAAATAAAACAAAACACACACACACACACTCACACACACGTGCACACAAAATTTAAAAATTGTTAATTCTGGGGAAAACAAAAAATTCAATATGAAAGGAAATCCAATCGTAATATACTACACAACGCAGCTGTGACTACTTACACAATTAACTCGTGTAAGCAGCAGCTGATGGAGAGGTAAAACAACTCTTCATAAGGGAGTGGAAGTGGCTGGGGGAGTAGAAGCGGAACAAAGCTGACATTTCATCTTCTATGACAAGAAGATTACAGACAAAACTGATAAATGCGGAAGTCTAAGCATGCATTTGGAACAATAAAAGTAAATACAAAAACAAACAGCTAAAAGAGTTGCAAGGGGTTGCCTCTGAGTGTGGGATCAGAGCTGGCAAAGCTAGTGTGCCTCAGGTTTATTTGGAATTTTAAATGATACAAATGTGTAACTTAGTAACAAATTTCAATCCATGAAAAAGTTTAGAAACAGCCCCCACAGCCTGGCCAGGTGGTTCTGTTGTCGGAACAGCTGAGAGCAGCTGAATCCAGGCGGTGGGCGTGGTGGGCAGGGAGAGGAGCGCTGTGAAGACGTTTAGGAGGTGAATCTGGTGCCTGGCCGGCCTGTAGGGAGTAGAAGGAAGGGGCGAGGGAACCTCCTGACAGCTGGTGAGTCTGTCTGGTAGTGACGGTGAAGGAGGACACACCAATGGCGGGCAGGAGGGGGCCCAGACTGCCACCCTCTTCTTGCACTCTCCCAGCTCCGCACGCTTTTCCTGCCGGCATTGTCTCAGTCTGACCACACCTTTAGTCACATGGTTGGTGACCCCACCCCCAGGACCCCGTGAGCCCCACGGGGCGGGGTCGAGCCTATGGCCGCTCTGTTCTCAGCATTGCTCCAGCACCTCAGGGCGCCCCGCAGGACCAGGGTACAGTAGCCCCTCAATTAAGATGCCCTGAAGGAAGTGAGTGAGTCCTTTCCCTTGTCACTATCCCCGGCTCTACTCCAAACCGCCAGTAACCCCTCTTTATGGTCAGTTCCGAGACAGTAACAGGAGTGGGCCGGCCACTCCAGAGGGCTGCTCCTAGGGACCTCCCCAGATCAGAGACAAACGGGTAACCCAGCGAGTTATGAGCTGTCTTCTCCACAAATGGCTCGTAGTTCCTCTGTCATGCCCATCCGAAGGGAGCTGCGGTTGTGTAACGTGTCTTTCCAGCCGATAATTAGGTGCGTCCGGAGTCGTCTTTATGCATTCACTCTCGCCTCAGAGAGAACAGCTGTCAAACCCCCAAACGTGCCTTGGAAACCTGAGCAAAGTCCATTGCGCTGGGAGGTTCCTCCTGTGGGATTTCACTGCGAAGTGGCCTCTTACATAACTGAGAAACCCCCAGAGTTAAAACTACCCCGGTGTGGGCTCGGTACTGCTGTAGGCTAGGGGTGATTCCTTAATCTCTAGTAGCCCCCCATATCTCTCTAAATAAAAGTGTAATCCTCAGACCAGTGGCACGCTACACACCCTGCCCCAAGGGGGGAGACAAGAGTGAATGTCTCGGCCCCACTTCCAGCCACAGCTTCAAGGAGCCCCTCCTCCCTGAAATTCAGGAGCCATTGCGAGACTGTTCTACCCTTTGATAAGAGTTTAAGTATCTTGTGATTGAAAGAAAAACCCTCTCACCGTTCAGCCAGCTTCTCCCCGACAATATCAGCTGAGCCCGTGCTGCCTAGCTCCTGTCTCCAGTGACGTTTTAGATTACGCACCCAGTGACTGAATTGCTCCTGGGCCATGGAGCAGCCAAGATTCGGGAACAGACCTAACGCCCTCCACCCCTTGTTTCTTGGGCTCCTGCTAGAGGATAAAGCATTGGCTATGGTGAGAGTGTCTGTCCAGTGACAGCCCACGGTGTCCCCATCCCCCCAGTGCTTGGACAGGGCCCAGCTGTTTCCACGCCAGCACGTGGCCATCCCCCCAGACTCCCTCCCTGCTGAGGTTGGCACTCGGATGCCAAGCTGGCCCCACACATGACTGTGTGTGCAGGGGACACTCAGACGTCTGAGTAGAACCCGACCTGCTTGGGGCTTCCTTTGTGCCTGCAGAAACATGCAAGGGCCAGGGAGCAGGGGCCAGGGAGCAGAGGCCACGGGCAGGGCCACGGTCCTGAGCAGCCCTCACAAGCATGTCACGGAAAGCGCTGGGTAAACGTGGGCCGTGACTGTAGGAGTCGCCATCAGCAGCATGGACCAGAGTGGAGGACGCGGGAGGGTGCAGAGAAGCCCCCTGTCATCTGCTGTTCTTTGTCCCCAACTGCCCAGGCCATAACAGGGATGGCCATCGACAACCACCTGCTGGCACTGCGGGAGCTGGCCCGGGACATGTGCAAGGAGCTGCCCGAGATGTTCACAGATGAGACATACCTGATGAGCAACCGGTTTGTCCTCTCCACCAGCCAGGTAAGCCCGCACGGCCATCGCCAGGAGGCCACGCCGTGTGCCCAGTGAGTTCTCTAGGCGGCTCAGGACCGTGAGCCCTGGCTGGAGTCAGGCGCACCCCAGCTCTGCTTCCTCTGAGCTGCATGGCCTTTGGCAAAATGATCTCAGGTGCGAAGCCCTGGTTTTCCATCCTCAGACAAGGAGCAACCACAGACCCCTCCTCAGCCAAAGTGGAGGCGGGATGAGAGCACCCCCGTTCTGGCATCCTAACCATTATGCCGTTCTCAGCCTGCTCTCCGGGGTGGCACAGGCTCTGAGCCCCACAGGCCTGGCGCAAAGTCGTGGCTCAGCCAGCTGCAGGGATGCAGGCCGACGTTTATCCCAGTGAACGGCAGAGATGGGCCCCCGGTGGGTCACAGCCACCATTACACAAATGCCCGAGGGTGGGAGCAGCACCTCGTATGTGGTGCCACAGGCTCCTCTGTTGGGGGCTACCGCCACGAAGACGGAATTGGAGGCCGTTAGAGAGAGCGGCAGTTTAGGAGAAAATACCCCACACTGCTCCATTTACTAAATTCCACCTCAGCCGTGAATAGCTGGGCACGGGCAATAAAGGGGCTGATAAAGTGTGTTTGAGGATAAAAGCCCACTCAGTAATTTGATTTTGTCATTACGGTGGCGAGCTCGCCACAAACGAGGACAGAACACAACAACATAAATTCTTCAGGAAACCATCCGAGGGCAAAAAGTGCTTTGGAACGGCTTCATGGCCTTGGGCTGTTGCGTGGCAAATTTATCCGACTATGCGGTGACTCTATTAGCAAGAGTAATGGCTTGTTCCGCTCCATTAACACAGCCAGAGTCACTGCCCAAGGCCTGAGTACCCAGCACCAGAAACCTGTGGGTTTCCAACAAGCCCCGGCCTGCGCCTGCCCAAGGACCCCTTCTAGTCCTCCCCTAGAGCTAGCTAGTAAAATTAATTTGGGGTGTTTTCCCCTCTAACTAGAAAGTGGCACTTATGGCTAGAATGCGCTCAGGAACACACCCTCCTGGTTTAGGCTCTGGATTACAAAGTCCCGGCACTATGAACTCAAGACACACTAGGCGTGTAACTGAAGCTCCCGGCAACAGCAACCTTCGAGACGCCTGATGCTGGGTAATTGTGCGTGGCCAGGCTGTGGGGAGGAAGTCAGACCAGCCAGGCAGTACTGACAGTAATTAAAGTTCTGGAGAAAATCGACAGAGAAGATGGGCCCGATTTCCTCCAGTTCATAAATGACTCCCCCTAGGAAGCCATCTAACTGTGGGGTGCCACCCGGGTGCCATTTAGTAAATTACCCTCATTGCCTGTGTGCCTTCAAGGCCCTTCGGTGGAGAAGACACTCAGCCCGAAACCCAGCCCCAGGTCACTCCAGGAGCTCCCAGCCCGCAGTGGAGCAGAGGCCACAGCAGGGTGTGGGTTCAGGCCGCTCCTCCACTTCCTGCCGCTGGACGGGTGTGTTTGAGGACTGGTGTGTCCATTAGCTGAAGCTATTGGTTGATTGGTCACGCCAGTCCAGCCTCTGGGTGAAAAATAACCAGGAAAGCAAGTGTGCAGTCGAGACCCTGGCTGTCGGGAAGGTTGCATTTCAGAACAAGCAGCGCTGACCTGTCCCCTTCTCCAGGTGCCCACAACCATGGAGATGTTCTGCTGCTATGGCCCTGTGGTCCCCAATGGGTACGGTGCCTGCTACAACCCCCAGCCAGAGACCATCCTCTTCTGCATCTCCAGCTTCCATGGCTGCAGAGAGACCTCTTCTTCCAAGTTTGCGAAAGCCGTGGAGGAGAGTCTCTCCGACATGAGAGACCTCTGCAGCCTGCCGCAGCCTGCCGAGGGCCAGCCTCTGGCGACAGCCACGAAACCCCACCAGGAGCATCAGCCTTGACTCCTGCCACTAGACCTCACCTCCCCAAGCCCAGCCTCCTGCAACTCCATACCCTGCCAAAGCCCTGCTACATCCCTCACCCCAGCTTTGCACTGTCAGAGTCCTCAGGGCCCACCGGCAGGCCACATAGCCACACAAGGCGGAGCGGTAGGCGACCAGCTTCTCTGCTGTGGGGGGGTCATCACTATGGACCAAAGCACCCTTTGGCCTGTGCACCAGGAAAGGAGACCGGCCTGGCTGGAAGGCAGCCTGGGCTGGGTGGGGACCCACGCCAAAGACGGTCCTCTGTGGTCTTCTGAAGCTTAATGCTCGTGTCCCTTGCCCCGCAGGACCCAATGTGTCCAGATGTCTCTACCCGTGAAAGAGCAAGTAGCCCTGTTTCCCGCAGCGTGCAGGAATGAAGCAGGATGAGGCTAGTGGGTCCATGACTCTTCATTTGGGGGACAGGGGGGTGCTTTGTTTTCAGAGTGAAAGCATTCTGACAGAGTGTGCACAGTGCCCCCACTGGGCCACACGCTCCTGCAAGCTTCAGCTCCCCCTCTGTGCACACATACACACACACACAGCCCACAGCCTGAGTGTACTTAAAATACACTGACCTGGGCTCACACATTTCTCCTTCTACCTCCCGGGGCAGCCTTCCACTGAGTTCAGAAAAATGCATCCAGCGATTCTGAAAGGAAAAATGAAAAAATCATCTCTGACGGCCTGATGGTCCTTGCTGGGTGGCGTCAGTCGGTCCTACACGGTAATCTACCCACCCAAGCAGCAGGCACCTTGGCGGTGGCTAAATGGAAGCCCACCCAGGACCCCAGGCCCAGGTCCTGCCCTTTGCCTTTTCCCGTTTCCTCCCCACTGGACACGCCCCAGCAGGGGACCCCCCACCCCAGGTGAGAAGAGAGGACTGCCTTGAGTTCCCAGTTTTGTTCTTGTCTGTTTGGTTGTGTCTATTTTCAAGAAAGCTGCTCTGATATTAATTTCAGGAAATGACCTCAGTGGCCCAAGCAGGACACCCCTAGATGTGGGCTCCTTTTTTTCGAAGAGGCAACCCATGGATTCTGACTGAAACCCAGTAGAGTTGCCACGGCTGGGCTCTTCACTGGCCTTGGGGACCCAGGGGACAGCCAGCAGGGAGCTGGCTGGGAGGAAGGGCGTCCAGTCCAGAGCTGCCCAGCCTGTCCAGACCGAGAATTGAGCTTGCTTGTCCTGCTAGGTTGAGACCACACAGGGGACGTGAGAGGCACTTCCTGTGGGACATTTTTCTAGAAAGCCTAAAATGGCAGGGGAGGCACAGTGGGAACGTAACCAGGACAGTTCAGAGCGCAGAAGGCCAAGGGCGGTGTAGACCCACTCCCCTCTTCAAGGGCAAGCTGCTCCCCGCAGGGCACCCCACTGGGCTCTGTGTCATGCTAGCACTGCACTTGGGCCCTGCAACGGTCCCTTGTCTGGGCCACCGTGAACGCTCTCCGTTTGCACTGCAGCCTGGTTGGCTGGGCGGGCCGAGGCCAGCATCAGCCTTTGCTCAGTTCTCTGAAAACATGGGCCGCCTCGGCAGCAGGGTCCCTGAGCTGGCTTTAAGTGGAGGGGTCTCCTGGGTGATGTGGGGAATCCAGGGTCAATAGGTCCATGCTCCTTCCTTCTGATCTCCACCTTCCTCTTCCCTTGGGGAAGCTGCCACCCACAGGTCCCAGGGGTGTCTGGAACTGGCAGTCCCCCTATTGTAAGTTGACCCAAAGCCACCTGTCTCACCATGCAACCATAGAGCAGGTCGAGCTTGCCTCTAGCCTTCCCGGTGGACTTCTGCTCAGGCAGAGAGCTCCAGCTCTGAGGCCAGGTAGCCACTGACCGCGGCCAGATGACACAGTGCCCAGAGACTCAACTCTCCCCGTTGTTAAATGAGGACAAGAATGCCCCCACCTTGCAGGGCTGTGATGATTGGCGAGCGTGTGTGAAGGACCTGTGTGAGCAGGGGCAGCAGTGCCCACCTTCGGGACAACATTGCCCCCGTGGATGTTGTTCGGGTGGTTTTCTTGTACACTGTCTACCGACCTGAGAGACCCAAGCTCTTCCCTGCTACTCTCCAAGCGTAGGGAAAGGCCCACAC